GGTCCACATACTACATCATGTTGTACTGGTTTGTAGTATGTGGACCCCACCAGTACAATACGATGTAGTATGTGGACATCACCAGTACAATAGGATGTAGTATGTGGACCCCACCAGTACAATACGATGTAGTATGTAGATCCCACCAGTACAATACGATGTAGTATGTGGACCCCACCAGTGCAATATGATGTAGTATGTGGACCCTACCAGTACAACATGATGTAGTATGTGGACCCCACCAGTACAATACGATGTAGTATGTAGATCCCACCAGTACAATACGATGTAGTATGTGGACTCCACCAGTACAATACGATGTAGTATGTGGACCTCACCAGTACAATACGATGTAGTATGTGGACTCCTTGTATTGTACTGGTGAGGTCCACATACTACATCATACGTTATTAAAGACCCTGGAACCAACAAAAACATGGACCCACAAGTAAGTTGGTACTTTAGCAAAATGTGTTTATAAAATCATAGCGATTAATCGGCAAGTTCGTGTATGTATAATAGGCTTAATACATATACGATATATATATTATCTGAATTTAAACATTTAAAAAATGACGTCACGTTTCTTCCCTCGTTTAATCCACATTCTTACATTAACAAATGTTAAATCAAGTACTTACAGAAGTACCACGTCTTTCAGCTTGTTACTACATCCTAGTGAACATTCTTCTAACAGCGCCGGCTAAGCCTATTTTTAACGTTTGTCATGCGTATATGAATAAATACAGTATTAGTCTATCATCAATATGCAACAGATGTTGCTTTACACAAAGTAACTATTGAAAAAGAAGCTACAAAAGAAATCCAGCTTCTCGTCTCGTTTTGTTTCTATATTTTAAGCACAAAACTATACAAGGGGCTATCTGTTCAGTGCCACCCGCAGGCATCAAACTCCGGTTTCTAGCAAATATAAGCCCTCAAGCGTACCGTTGAACTTGAGCTGGTGGGGGGAGGACTTTCCCCCTGACATAGAGCGAAAAGTGCGGGGAATATTTATTTGATAAATATGAATTATTGCACCTATTCAGTACTGTGTGTTTCTTTTGAAGTGTCACAAGCAGACCGTTGAAGATTTCTATCTCAGGTGAGCTTTTAACATTTGTATTATATGGTCGTTTGTTTTAAGTGCAAATCCACACAATAACCTATCTGCTGTGCCCACCACAGGGATCGAACTCCGAATTCTAGCAACTGCTGTAAGCTTCCAACACCAGGAAAAACTAATACATACCTAACGTACAAATTATATCTAAAATTATTTGTGTAAATGAAAGGATACATTTTCTATAGAAGCGTTTTGGTTATAGCCTAGTTACTTACGAAATGTGTTGTATTTGTAATTTCATAAAAGACAGAATTGTAAGGTTTGTCTAACCTAGTCATATCCCATGCAGCTATGACAGTAAGAGTAAGTTAAATAAAAAAAATAAAAGTTTCACACTACACATTCTACTTCACACTGCCACCAAGCCTCAGACTATACATTCTACTTGATACTGTCACCAAGCCTCGGACTACACATTCTACTTGATACTGTCACCAAGACTCAGACTACACATTCTACTTCACATTGCCACTAAGCCTCGGACTACACATTCTACTTCACATTGTCACCAAGCCTCAGACTACACATTCTACTTGATACTGTCACCAAGACTCAGACTACACATTCTACTTTACACTGTCACCAAGCCTCAGACTACACATTCTACTTGACACTGCCACCAAGCCTCAGACTACACATTCTACTTCACATTGCCACTAAGCCTCGGACTACACATTCTACTTGACACTGCCACCAAGTCTCAGACTACACATTCTACTTTACACTGTCACCAAGCCTCAGACTACACATTCTACTTGACACTGCCACCAAGCCTCAGACTACACATTCTACTTTACACTGCCACCAAGCTTCAGACTACGCATTCTACTTTGCACTGTCACCAAGCCTCAGACTACACATTCTTCTTGACACTGCCACCAAGCCTCAGACTACACATTCTACTTTACACTGTCACCAAGCCTCAGACTACACATTCTACTTCACACTGTCACCAAGCTTCAGACTACACATCCAACTTCACTTCTTACCTTTTAGCTCCGTCGTAACGATAACAAATGAATGAATTATAATGTTTTATAAAGTATAAATGTATAAATGTTTTTTAATTCTTGTTCATAAATTGTGTTTTGAGTGACATGAGAAGTTTGACGTGACTAAAAAAAATCAAACAAATAAATATTCTGAACTTAAAGTAATTGAAAACTCCGTAACTTGATCAGTTTCGTTGCATATTAAATTAACATCTTGTTTACTAGATATCGTCATTTGACTCGGTTTTCTGTAGCCACAAAAGTTACTGATTATCACAGACAAAACACTACCATTTCTGTACGAGTCTGTCAAAGTTAGTTTATTACATTTGCTTATGCATGATCAATTCTGTGTTCACTTTACTGCAATAAAACTGTAATAATCCAGTTGTCTTACATACTTGCATATCATTACAGTATCAATCGATTTCACACGAGGCTTCACTAGTTGGTTGTTTCCATGGTTGCAGGAACAGACTGCTGGCGAACGTCGTGTAACACAGAGATTATCATTTTTCTAGTAATTAACGTCTGTGGATTTTGTTTTTCTGCGTGGAATGATTAGTAATAAAGTAATGGCGAGTATCGTCACTTGTACGGATTTTTATGTCTTTGAAGCTGAAATCTGATGATATATTTTGTTTGAAATATTACATATGACATGCATCGAAGTACGTGCACAGCGAAAGGCCTTAACCATTGGGAAGGAAAATAAATGCTGTTAGTATATCAGCCAAACAATAGCATAAAATATCGAAATTTATTGTAAATAAATTTTCTTCTAAGACCCATTTCAATGTTAAAAATAACATTTTATAAGCGATATAAGGGTCGCTAAATATACAAATCGTGCCTCATGAAAAGGAATTTATTGAGTGGCGTCATCTAGTGTTGAGTTTTGATATTAGAAACCTTTATTATATTTAAATATTATTAACTTTTCACTTGTAATAATGAATTTATCTTACGATTAAATCAATTACTTTCTCTATTATTTCGTTCATGAAATATTGTGTTTCTGGAACTTTCTTTTCGTATAAAAAATTACAACCATAACTACAATCGATAGATATGTCATATTTGGAGTTTAAACACAAGTAATTTATCATTGGAATTAAATTTAATATGTATGATTTCTTTAAATTGTGGTTCGTAGTAACTTCTAACGAGTGTATGAGCAATTGAATCACATAATCAGTTATACTGGTCAAATACATTATTGTTATTAACACCGAAGAAATGAAGTCGTCATTATTGTCATATCAGAGAAAAGAACAAATTTACCAAGTCATTACTTTGTTTTTATGAAACTAAAGTTATAATTATTAGGAGAGCACGTATGGAATAAGAAGTAAGAATAACAAATTTCAAGGAAAACGCCTGCCCTCCCCCTTTAGTGGCACAGCGGTATGTCTACGCTAGAAACCGAGTTTCGATAATAGTGGTGGGCAGAGCACAGATAGCCCACTGTGTAGCTTTGTGCTTAATTCCAAACAAACAAACAATCAAAGAATCAAAGAAAACGAGAAGTTTAGAAGCGCCATCTGTTATCGAATATAGATAACATGTTAAAATAATCTTACCATGCGCCAACCATCTCAAGTTTCAGCTTTATTATTTGTCATTATTAAACAAAAAAACTTCCTATGGCAGATTAAATAGCTAAATAGTAGCACAAAACAATAAAAAGTTTTTTTTTATCTTGCTATAAATATTAAAGTATAAAACACGTCATTTAAATGCCGCCTATATTACGACTTTATCTCAAAACACACACAACCAGTTATAAGACGTATTTTATCGAGAATTTGGTTACACACAAGTTTGTTATCGAACGAAAGTGATTTTTGAACACGCTTACTCCAGTAAACAATCACGATGTAAGAACAACATGGAGAGGGGAAATGCGATACGTGGGCAAAGTTAGAGTCTTAACGGACGTTTATCCCGCATAGAAAATCATGGTCAGAAAAATGACTTCATTATAAAGAATGCTATCACATACACGTTTGTGACAAATGGAAGGAAGAAACTAAGTTATATTTTGCAATGTGTTCATATCGTAACAGCACAATAAACTTCTGATGACCAGTGGTAAAATCCTCCTTTAAAAAATACCTCTACCAAGACCTGAGGTTACGGTGCATTCTGCAAGTTAACAGTTCGTCTTCATGCACTGTTCAAATGGAACTGCCAAATAATACAAAAGATAATGGAACTAGTTACCAGGTTACAAAATATAGTATTCCACGTGTAATTATGACAAGATCTGGTACGGAGTTCCAGTGACAGAACTTCACCATAATGATAGTCCTCACAAGGATTATCCATGACGCACTTCCTTTCTAAATGGCAGGATTATCTCAATCCGATCAGGATAAAAACTGAAGCTACCATGACACACTTCCTTCCTAAATGGATTTTGGTCCACCTTTAGTTGCTGCCTTTTTAGCTGCTCTTCTTTTAATAATTTCACCCCTGTTTCGAAAATTTCTGTTTGCAGAATCAATAGCTTTCACACACATCTTCCAAACACTTTGATCAGTCTTGTCAAATTCGTAGAACTTCTCAATAAGATGCTTGATGTACTTGATTTTAGCAGGATTCAAAGGAGGTTTTCCACATCCATTCACGTTGCCAGATAATCTTTCTGTCTCTGTAAATATTTTTCTCATCAAGAAAACAGCAAAATGCTGAGGTGAATTACAATTAGCCAAAATTTCTTCAAGTTCCTTTTCACTAAGTTCATATTGCTTCTCGGGGAGAGCTCCAGAATGCTGATCTCGAACCTCTTCATCTTCTGTTCCTCCCATTTTCTTCAGTTGATGAGACTTCTGGGATTTGTCACAATTCTCTTTTATGTGCTGAACTTGATATCTGTCTACTTCGACAGTCTCTTCATTATCAGAGGGTTCATTAAGAAGAGTATCATCTTTCTCTAAGTCAAGAGGTTCTTCTATCGTTAAATTGGGAAGATCGGAAAACTGATTTCTTACATATAGTGATTGTTTCTGTATTTCATTTACTAGATGGTGAGGTTCAGAGAAAGGTGGCATCGTCCTTTGTCCTCTGGTACAAAACTGGGGTGAGTCGGTAATACAATGAGGATGTACATCTACTGCTAACAAAGACTGTTTTTCTTGCTTCTTCAGATCACATCTAATAATTTCCAATAATCCTCGAATGTTCTTCAGTTCTTGCATAACCTCTCCGAGTTGTGAGCCACAACTGCAGTGTAAATGTACAGCAGCTGCTGCTGAACCTTGAGGCATAGATGGAGTAACAGAAATAGATGGACCTGGAGACTGAAGAGGATTACTGACCTGGTAAGGTGAAGCATCACTGAAAGATGACGTAAACGATCGAACTTGAGAATTGGAAGAAAGGTTCTGAAAACTTGTATGTTGATCTTGAGAATTCAGATTTCTTCTTCTTCTGTAACTTCTTTGAGGCTGAGTTGGTTTATCCTGAGAAGAAAGTGTTGTATTTTCTACACTTTGAACAGGATTTTGTTTAAGTACTGTTTCATTGGTTTTTACACTTTTTTGACTAGACCCAGCAACATAAGACCTAACTGGATATTTAGATAATGATGAGGATGATAATAAATGCTGGTACTGTTGACGAACTGGAATGTATTTCCTGAAATGTCGTTTTCTAGGTTGAATCCGTAAAGAAATATTTCTATGATCATTTTCCCTAATTCCATTACTAGGTGTTATATCATCTTTTGAATAATCAACCGTCAATGGACTTGTAGCCTCATTTCTGGAACCAGTATGAGATATCTCCTGCTCCGTCCATCTTACGAGTTCTTCCGTTAGAGGCCTTTTCTTTGGATCAGGTTTTCTTGAAAAACCATTTGCTTCAGAAGTTCCGTTTATCTGACTGCTGGTGGAAGAAGGTTCTTGCTTTTCCTCGGAATCACGTCGATCTGATGTAGCTCTCTGTAAAGTTAAAAATGAAGTTATGTATTTTATCAATAACTGTTGTGATTTCAATTGATTTTGTGCAACAAGTTTACTTATAGTTCATTTTTTATAGTGAAGGAAATAGTTTACAAAATTTCAAATCCATTTTACACACTTCATCTAAAACCCGAAATAAATATTTACAAAAAAATACTCTATAATCTAATAAAAACATTATTATGTATAAGCCCTGAATTACAATTAAATTAAGACCTTATCTGAGGCTTCAATATTTTTAAAAAATGGTTTCTCTTCAATTTTATGTAAAAAAAGCACCATACTCCAAAAACTTACAAGACATCAAGATATTGTTGTTGTTTTTTTTACAGATATATATTGTAGAATTTCCAATCAAAATAGATGCCAGTCTTCGATTTATAGACCAGTATTTCCCAACCCGTGGTGTGCACACTCACGGGTGTATGCTGAAACATTTACCGGGGGGGGGGGGGTACAATAGCCTCGAAAAACGTTGAAATGAAACTGATCCCCACACCTCAAAATTGGAGGCCAATCTTGGTGAGTTACCAGCACTAGCAAGCACTCATCATTCATGTATTGCTGACTCATCTATAAATAATTTCTTCTGATTTACTTTTTATTAATAAAAACCACTCACTGGTCTAACTGTGATATGTGACATAAAATAAGTTCGGAACCTTTGTTGTAGATTTACTAGAGTTTTAAACTCTGATAATTCAAAACGTCTCACCTTCCCTTGATGCTTTGAAGATGACACAACTTTTCTTCTCTTGATACTATCTGGTTCAGAATCTGGATCCTCTATTATAGCACCTGATTTTGTGATGAATCTTTTCACAGCTTCTTCGTCGACTTGTTTATTTCCTTTAAAACACTCCTTCTCAAATTCTACTCTGTGTGATTCCAAAGTTTCATTATTATCTGTAAAAATATATATATAAGATGAAGAATTTTTTATACTTTACTGTTTCCTGGGCTAATAGTTTCATTGTTTTGTATTAATATTTTTATAATTTATACTGGCACGATAATTTTATACACTAAAACAGGATTTCATAAACAATGTTTTTTTGGTTGCACCTTTAACACTAAAATAATTTTTAAATGGTTTATTTCAAAGTCTTTTTGCTCAAAACTACACCAACGGCTAATCTGTACATAGCTATTCTTAATTTTAAAGGGAAATCAGTTAGTAAACACAACTCTTGGACTACTTCTATGTGACTGAATATTAGGATCTGTTCATAACTCTTAAAGCAGCCTAGACCCCAAAATACATAGGATGTGCTTGCTGCAATGGACCACGAACCATGAATCCTCCAATTAACAATATGATCATGCTAACTAATAGGCTACATCTACCCTCACGTAAATGGTTCCTTGATTAAAAACTTATTAGATGCCTCCCTTACCCTTAGCCATAGGATACATTGCAACTATAATACTTAATAAGTCTTTCACTTATGGAGAGACTTAATATGGACATGTTCAGATTCTAAGTCATCATTCTTCAAGACAAAGTTGTGCTTCAAGCCCAAAAATAAAACCATAACCACACAATTACTGAATACAAGACTACTGAACATGACACTACTGGGCCAGATGCAACCCACCACCACAATTACTGAATACAAAACTACTGAACATGACACTACTGGGTCAGATGCAACCCACCATAACCACACAATTACTGAATACAAAACTACTGAACATGACACTACTGGGTCAGATGCAACCCACCATAACCACACAATTACTGAATACAAAACTACTGAACATGACACTACTGGGCCGGATGCAACCCACCATAACCACACAATTACTGAATATAAGACTACTGAACCAGCACCAACCTACGACCATCACTACACAATTACTGAATACAAGACTACTGAACCAGTACCAACCTACAACCATCACTACACAATTACTGAATACAGACTACTGAACCAGTACCAACATACCTTTATGGTGTAATTGATGAACACAAGACTACTGGACTAGTAAACATAACCTTTAAATTTTGAAAGAAAGCTTTTGACTGACAAGAGAAGAAGAAAAACATATGCAATTCTACATACTGTAATAGTGTGAAAATAAACTTTGAAATATCAAATTCTGCAACTAAAAAGGCTTAACAGGATCAATCGCTAACACATTTTGAATTTTTAGTATATAACCCAACTTAAAGAATTAATTTAACATACAATGAAATATTATCACCTCAATAGCTCAGTAACAATTGTATCTCTGGTTCACTAAAATGGCGATTCTGGAAGTATTTTATTGGCACTAAAAAAGAGACACGTTTAACAAATTTCAGATAAAATTTAATCACCAGAATTATTCTTACATGTCCAAATTATAGTTTACCATTAGCTGCAATGACGGTGCCCTGAAACTTGTCCTTCCCGGCCCTGATTTCTATTTTCTTCCCAGGAGTAATCCATCCTTCGACTTTTCTTTTTGGAACTATGGTTGTAGTCTTGTCTTGAGGGAAGTAGACAAGTACGAAAGCTGGAGCTATATTAGACCGTAAAAAAAAAAATTATAATAATTTTACTTAGTTTAGGGGATTTCTGTGGCCACTAAGCAAGAAACTGTTAGGCCTACTTTACTATCGTCACAAGTACTAAAGCTGGATCTATATTAGGCCGTAAAAAAAAAAAAATGATAATAATTTTACTTAGTTTAGGGGATTTCTGTGGCCACTAAGCAAGAAACTGTTAGGCCTATTTTACTATCCTCAATATTAATAATGATAATTATAACCCATGGGTTGGATTTGGGACCAAAAATGGGGTAGAAGAAAAAAAAAACGTTTCACTTAATTGTTGTGAATGTGGTGTGTATACTATATCCCACATAAAAAACTAAGGGTACTGCTCCCCCCCCCCCGTAATCCCGCTTATGTTTTAACTCACATTCACGTAACATATAAATAATAATAAAGCTGTATTATTAACAAATATTGTTTATTTTGTTAACGTTGTAATGAAGTATTATAAACCAGTTGTTTATTTTGTTAACGTTATAGTGAAGTATTACAAACCAGTTGTTTATTTTGTTAACGTTATAGTGAAGTATTACAAACCAGTTGTTTATTTTGTTAACGTTAGACTGAAGTATTACAAACCAGTTGTTTATTTTGTTAACGTTCTAGTGAAGTATTACAAACCAGTTGTTTATTTTGTTAACGTTATAGTGAAGTATTACAAACCAGTTGTTTATTTTGTTAACGTTATAGTGAAGTATTACAAACCAGTTGTTTATTTTTCCAAATCAGCCAAGATTAAGCTTTGCATTTCTACTTAACAGGGTGAGACATCAAATGGTAAATTAGAATTAAGCACGAGAGCTTATGTCTTCATTGCATCGCACATATTCATTATGAGACAATGCAGGAATGGAAGGGCAACTACGTTTTTGAATTTCAATCAAAGCTACTCTATCTGCATTAGTTGTCCGTAATTTTGAAGTGATAGACTAGAATGAAGGGAGCTACTCAACCCCCCCACCACCCAGTGGCTAAAAGAGAGACCATGCTCGGTGACGGAATTCGAACTCGCGACGCGACGCAGATTGCGAATCGAGCGCCCTAACCGAAGTGGCAGGTTGAATGAGTGAAACCACCGAATAACGTTACCTTACAAACAGATGTATAAATCAAACAACAAAAAACATTTTTACGTGTAAAGAGCAAAAAGTCTTTAAATACGTCATGATTATAAACGTCAATCTAATTGCGATATTTGAACAATATCGGATCTTAATATTAAATACTATAAGTGGTTCTGTGAAGAAATTAAAAAAAGAGATCACGAATATCCAAAACTGAGACGCGTGGACACCGTTCCCTCAAAAACGCGTAACCGCACTTGCGCGACGGAAACGCGCAGCCATGTTAGTTAGAGGAGAAATGTCTAACACTATTACGCGTTATTTCATTGACTTCCTATAATCATGTTTGAGGCTAAAGTTTTGTCACTTTATTTCTATTTGCAATAATCAGAAAAAACTGAATTCCCGATCCACATGCAACGTACCTTAGCAACCGCACGTGGTGTACTTTAAGAAATAATAAGCAGTACAAACAACCACACGCACTTACATTCACAACGAGAAAAAACCCCAAATGATCTTCGGAACGTCACACCACGAGTAAGATGTTAGTGTACAAAGCTGGCTTTCCTTCAGATTTGAAAACAGTGGTTACTGATTTAGATGTGTCTTATGCAAAAAACGTAGATAAACATACTAATTACAAGATGATTAGCTTCATCTGGGTTTTTGTTTCCCAAAGCCGAAGAACGCGACGGTTTTAATGGGTCAAATAGAGGTGATCTATGATAGTTTATGTGAACAACAAGGATTGATTATTTATTTTAATAAAGGAATACAAAAGAATATAATAAATAAAACACAAGGAGTAGGTTTATACTTACGCTAGCTCATGGTTATATGGTTGACGTCACCAATTGGGTGTACTTAAATGTCGTGTACAATTGTGTTGAATACCTGATGACGCCACGTTAACAGTGGCGAAACGTCGTTTTTAAATGATGTTTGTTTGTTTGTTTTTGAATTTCGCGCAAAGCTACACGAGGGCTATCTGCGCTAGCCGTCCCTAATTTAGCAGTGTAAGACTAGAGGGAAGGCATCTAGTCATCACCAACTCTTGGGCTACTCTTTTACCAACGAATAGTGGGATTGACCGTCACATTATAACGCTCCCACGGCTGAAACGGCGAGCATGTTTGGTGTGACGGGGATTCGAACCCGCGACCCTCAGATTGCGAGTCGAGCGCCTTATCCACCTGGCCATGCCGGACCCATTTTTTTAAATGATATATTTTTTCTGTCCTATTTTAACTGTTTTTGAATTTTTAAATTTTGTAAAGTGTGGGATACCTCCAACATTTACAAAATGTCAAAGGTGTTAAAATTATAAAGGTGTTATCGACATAGAGTGGAGATAGAATCTCTATAAAGAATTCTAACAAACTATTTTATAGAAATGTTTCTAATGGAGTCTACATTGAGCTCTAAAGCCACATCATTAGACCGGCATAGTGGTTCTTTCTGGTCAATACTGATATTAACCTTTCTGAGCTATTAATATTTTATATTGATGTAAGATGAAAAACGTTTCGCTGTATAACATTGAAAGATGACTTAGTTTTAGTTGTTTAACATTATACAGGGTATACCAAGATATCCGTGTGTAAATTTCTGGACTATCGAAGAAGGTTGGGTTATATATATCTCTCTCCTAACGGTCAAGAAGCAATGAAATAAATTCTGGAGCTAGTGTAACACATCTCATACCTGTCGTATGTATTAATGTTTAACGAAGTTTTAACTACAAGAACCTTTTGAACTTACTTCGCATTCGAACACGTAGTCCAACAGCACTTCCAGAGGTTGTTGAAGTCATGCGTGAAGTCGGCTCTTGTGTCTGTAAAAAAAAAAAGCGTAATATAAAACATAAAAATAACTCACTCTGTACGAAAATGATACGAGGACCGAGCTTGCAGGTTTAATTCTAGCTAGATTTGCAATAATTTATATATATATATATATATGCCAAATAATAACAGAATTAGGCTTAATCCACCAGTCAAAAGTATTTAAATGGCCACATGTTAGTGCTGCTGGGACGATACCTTTCACTACCACAGCTCAGGGAAACAACTTTCTGTTGCCCTGGCTTAACGAAGTAATGAAATACAGCGAGTGTTACTAGTTTAATCAAATAATGCGAACTTTCCGAGTGAAAATAAAGTGTATACTTATATATCAACCACGTGTCTTATGTAGCCCCTTTCTGGAGTTACACACAATTCCTGTAAACCACGTGTCTTATGTAGCCCCTTTCTGGAGTTACACACAATTCGTGTAAACCACGTTTCTTATGTAGCCCCTTTCTGGAGTTACACACAATTCCTGTAAACCACGTGTCTTATGTAGCCCCTTTCTGGAGTTACACACAATTCGTGTAAACAACCAAACTTCAATCACACAACTAAGCTCCACAACACACTAAGCTCCTCTGATCCCCCCCCCCCCCAAATGCATGTAACTGGTATTTTGGGCTAACTGACTAGTTTGTAAATCTCGGTAAACGTGCTTTACTGTCGTTAGGTGCCTAAAAGATTCGAGGCTCGGACCCATAGGCGCGGGAATTTTCGGCGTTTCACTATGATATCTAACATGGCTTTCTGTTCTAATTTTTCAAGACACCAACTGGGGATTCGGGGCACTGTCAAGTAGAATCAGACCAAGTACAACTAAAATGCGTCCACATTAATCCTATAACATTGGTTCATATATTTCACCGATTAAAACCACACCACGAACATGAAACGAGATTAAAACCACACCACGAACATGAAACAACAGAAACTCGCGAATCAAGGAAGTCGTATAATGTACCTATGTTAATTTTTATCGAAATTTATCTTATTTTTTACTGACTATCCTAATTCGCATGAAGAGGATCAGCAGGACATGAACTTACATCAACACTTACGACGAAATTAATACGCTTGATGCTTATTTTGTACTTTACTTTTGTACTTCACTAAACAGCAAAGAAATCTTTACTGTTCAATATAATAACTTATCTTACATTTTTTCATTATATAAAAAAGTATTTAAAAAAACGAAATATTAAATATTTAGAAAAGAGTTTCAATCATTTTTATCCTAACTATAACTGAAAAACTGTTTATAGTAAGAAGCCCCACACTGTACACAAGCTCACAACAATATGCCTTACGCCAAATAATATATTACTGTATTTTTTTTGTTTGAATTTCGCGCAAAGCTACACGAAGGCTATCTGCGCTAGCGTCCCTAATGTAGCAGTGTAAGACTAGAGGGAAGTCACCCACCGCCAACTCTTGGGCTACTCTTTTACCAACGAATAGTGGGATTGACCGTCACATTATAACGCCCCCACGGCTGAAAGGGCGAGCATGTTTGGTGTGACGGGGATTCGAACCCGCGATCCTCAGAATGCGAGTCGGGCGCCCTAACCACTTGGCCATACCGGGCCAAATATATTACTGTAATTTGTCTTCAAAGTTCAATACAATATACCGAGAATAAAAAATGTGGACATCGTATACTTTAGGCCATTTGTGTACATAATCAAGGTTGGTGTATCTTACATACACTAAAGCTTTGTATAGGCCTAACAAGAAAACCACATGCAGAAACAGAAAGTCATGAGAAAGTACAAGAAATATACGTAATAAACTATTTCTTGTTACAGTTCGGTTTAAAAAAAATGTTTTCCATGGTTCTTACTTTATATATAAACATCCGGGTTAACAGGTTGTCATTTAAAGTAACATCCGGGTTAACTGGTTGTCATTTAAAGTAATTTTCCACATATTTCTTTATTTAGCTCTCAGAAGTCTCCGTTGTCGATCTTCACCGTTTCTCCAATGTGATACTGAAATATGCATGGACGGAAAATTAAAAAAAAAAAACTTTATGTCTTTCATTATCAACTGAATATTATATCTTTAATAAATCGTTGTATGAACTTGAACTTGGCCCTCCTTTAAATATGAATCTACTCTAAGGTTTCAAATTTTGCTTTGACAGATCAGGGTGGCAAAGAACCGGAAAATTCAGAGATCTTCAATCTTCTTCCGATAGAAAAATGACAAAGAAGATAGGAAAATCACCCAAGAGGCTGCACGTGCGCGCAAATCATGTTGCTTACACAGGTCAATTACAGGTAAACTAGCTGAGGTACCCTTACATGGGATAAAGGTGGCCAGATTTGGTGACAATCAATAACATAAGCTCAGTCACATTATTATTTTATCTGGTGATAATTATATATTTAATTTTAATTTATTGTTTATTATTATGTTCTTATTATAAAGATTTTTTTGCATTGCTAGCTTAATATATTATATGTATTTTAGTACTAGCCTAAACCTCCTAATTTGACCGAACCTGGTGAGATATTATTGGGATTACGGCCAAAAATATCGTTAGCAGCGAGGATGCCCAACTGATCAAACGATTCATTCCAGCCTTTATAGGTAGAATTGTAAAAAAAGTATATTTAATTAGCTATACTGATCGACACGTTGATTTTTTAGCAGAGGCATCGCTAGGTGCTTAAAATATTTGGGGCTCGGGCCCATAAGCGCGGGAATTTTCGGCGTTTCAGTATGATATCGATCATGGTTTTTTCAATTCTGATTTTTCAAGATACCAATGGGGGATTCGAGGCACGGGCCCCGTGTACTAATGTCTAAAGATGCCTCTGACTTTTAGTTTCGCTTTAAATTTGTGTATAGCTTGCTCTAATTCGAAGTTAATATTTATAAATTAACATTTCTTATACTTAAAATCAAACTTCCTTGTCTACCATTCGTTGCAATGTTCTTTTTTGGAGATTTCTTCTGTAGTCAGACATTTTTTTATTACCATTGATAACAAGATTACAAGCTGAAGTGGTATTAATTAGATAATATCGTGAAGAAAACTTGAAATATCAATGTGTTGTATGCGCGCGCGCTCAAGACTGAAATACCTCGAATTTTGCTTAGAAAATCAGAAAATTATTTTTCAAATGAATGTAAACATCTTGCAAACGTAACTGCAACCAAACAAAAATATATCTCATTAACTCACTAGACAATTACCCTAATTTTATTTCACGCCCAAAACTTAATGCTCAAGCTGAAGAGCAAATTAACAAAATAAAATAAATCGTGAAATGTGTAGTTTCTAATCTCTACCATTCCAACAACGTAACGATCCCAATTTCATGTTCTTTTATTTCGCGAACTGTTGTATTTACAATGTTACACATGAAACTGTCGTTTTATTATTAATACATAATATTCAAAATGGCGCATGCAATACTTTCAACGCTTTCGTCTGGCCGCGAATGTCTGAGAGTCGTTTAGCGTCTGCAATAAATTTTGAATCCTATATCTGAATTCCAATTTTAGAACACATACAAACTCTCTCCTTCTTATTTTTTTATATTCATAACGTTCAACTTGATTCACGTGATTTTTGAATGTGTGAACAAATAAAAAAATAACAAATAATTTTATAAAATAACTTAAAACTCAAGTGTGCCAATGGAAGCGACGCGCAGCACTGCGATCACGCCATATTGTTTAGTACGCCCTCCCTTCATCGCTACTAGATTACGTTACCTTGTGAAGACAGATCAAAACATTTTACATTGATAATCTTTTAATCTTCACACTTGACTTACTAATCATATTTTGTTATAAATATTGTTCATTTATCTGGTCAAAATAGGGACTTACCTACTTATTTTTATAACTGCAATCACGATTTCTTCATCTCGTTATTGCCAAAATACAGAGACGCGTACAAGACGAGCTTGCTTATTAAAAGTCATGCATTCAGAAACTCAAGGACAAACAAGCAGCACCAAACGAGGGCGCTACATTTGTTCTTGCACGTGTTGTATTGCGTCTGAATGTTTTAGTCCAAAAAGTTTATCCTACTTTTTATGCGAACATAAACCCTAAGCCGATGAAAGTTCAAAAGAGTTACGGTTAAAAAACAGATGAAAATTTTAAATATTATATCATGTGGTAAGATGTAACTTTGGGAAAAATTACATGTCAGCTCGCAGTTGCTAATCCTGATTTCCAAGTTCAGACTTTCATGAATGATTTATTTAAAATCTATGTTCTAGAACGGACAGAATATTATTAACTTGCTAATTCACTAAATTTTATTTATTTGATATAGAGTTTAGGTCATTATTCAGCCAGAAGGCCACTGGTAACATCAGTGTAGGAACTACCTCTTGGAGGCAGCCGGTCTCCGCGTGAGGAGTGAGCGTTTATTGGAGCCACTCTGATAACACGCATAATTAGCGTGTTTTTTTGGTTTTTTTTGTACCATAAGTAATTAACACTTTGATCGGTTGATTGACTAGTTGATAAGCACAGACCTACACAATGGGCGATATGTTAAGCACCACGGGCAATAAAACCGACTTTTTTAGTGTCGTATGATTACAGACTTGCCGTTGAGTCACTGGAAAGACTGTAATCCTAATATTTTCCCGAGAAAAATTTTCACTATAGGGTTTAAGGTTGATATATATTTTTTATTCGTTGACTTTATTATTATCTTGGAATAGTTCTTCGTGTTGATAGATTTCCCAGTAGCATACACCAGATTTGTGAAGCCATGCTAGAAATGCTGATTGGAATAACCTATGCATTTTGTATCATGAGAAAACAATCATATACCTTGTTCTGGAGTTCGTGGTCGTTTTTTCATTATACAAAACAAAACAAAACAAATTTAGCTGTGGGATTAATAAAGTTTTGTTACGTAGAAAGAACATCGACAATTCTTGCTAGCAGAAAGATGATTGACCCTCAAATTCAAATTAACACTTCTGTATACAGAAAATTTGACAACTTTTAAAAATGGTACGTGACAAAAAATAATTTATTGAGTAATTCATTTACTGAATGACAGTACGCGAAGCCACGTTTGTGTTATTTCAATAACCGTAGACTTCACCGTTGTCCCTCCAGGAACTTTTAAGCACGAAAAACACGAAATGTGAATGAAAAAATGTTATTTGAGATTCCTTATATGCGTTTCTTTTAGTATAGTGTTTTTGATTAATGTACCTATGTGTGTGTATTTGTCTGTCATTCGTCTTTTAAAAAATGCATGAAGATACATCCAAAGTATTTGTGATGGATTTTGATGACACCATATTAAATTTAAAAAAATATTTTAGAGACGACGACACATATGTAATGTGGTATTATTTTGTGTACCTTAGAGGTTTATACTATAACTTTTAAATTTAGAGACAATATCAATATTATAAAAGCATCTATCAATTACTATGTGAAATTAAACTAACTCGTAAGTTACAAGAAAGAAAGAAAAACGAAAATAGGTACTTAATATACAAATATTGATTTTAATAATGGCTGAATGTTGAGCTGCACCTTAAATTGACAATTTTGTTAGGTGGTTTACTTCTCTGTGGCTTATAGTACAAAAAATGGGATGATCTCTTGCCCTACCTCTGGTGAAGTATTCTCTGAAGCCAATAAGTTAGCCATTTTCTCCTCCTGAAGAAGAATAGTCAACTATTCGAAAGCGCTCGAGTTTTAGGTCTCGTTTTGAAAATAAAATGTGTAGTCCCGTTCGGAACGTTTGCCGCTGACTTCTGCTTAGTTCTCTTTATTATGATTATTTTATAAATGTATAAACCTCTTCTAAATGCCTACCACTGACTTCAGGCTAATCTTTTGTGTTAGGCCTATCATAACGAATGTTTAAACCATTTCTCAAAGCTCGCCACTAGTTTCAGGTAATTTTCCTTGTAAGGTTTATTATTATACATGCCTAGATCAATGTTAAACTCGCTACACACTTATGTAAGTTTTCTGTATTAAGCCTCTCATTATTAATGCCTAGGTCACTTCTGAAAGCTCAACACTTTGTGATATTCTTCTGTGTTAGACCTATCAATATGAATGTCTAGACTAGTTCTGAAAACTCGCCTCTGACTTCAGGTTACTTTTCTGTGGTAGGCCTATCAAAATGAAAGCTCCTCATTCACTTCAGGAAAGTTTTCTGTGTTAGGCCTATAATCGTTAAACTCTATTCAAGCTCTGTAAGATTTGAACTAACTTGAACTTCAGCTTAGTTTTCTGTGTTAGGCATATCATTATGAATGTCTATACCAGTTCTTGAAGTTCCTTGCTGACGTAACTTTCTTTGTAAGTCTTGTTGTTATGAATGTCCAAATTAATGTTAAAAACAAGCCATTCATTTCATGCAAGTATTTTGTGTTAGGCATATCACATTACAAATGTATATATCAGCCACAAAAGCTCTCCATTGATTTCAGATTAGTTTTCTGTTTGACCTGTCATTATGAATTTCTAGATCACTTCTGAAAGTTCGCCACTATGTTCGAATAAGTTTTCTGTGTTAGACCTATAATTATGAAGGTCTGGACCAGTTCTAAAAGCAAGCGTCTGACTTTAGGTTAATTTTCTGTGTTAGGACTATCATTATGTATGTTTAGGTCAATTCTAAGAGTTTTCCAGTAGCTTCGGGAATCTTTTTGTTGTTGTTGTTGTTGTTGATATTATTATTATGAAGGAATAGATCGGTACTGAAATCTCGCCTCTGACTTCAAATTGACTTTATTTGTTAAGCTTATCATTATTAATGGATAGGCCACTTCTGAAAGCTCCTCTTAGACTGCATGTTACTTTTTTGTGGTAGACCCATTAAAGTAAAAGCCTAACCCAGTTCTGAAAGCTCGCCACTGACTTAAGAAAAGTTTTCTGTGTTAGGCCTATAATCATGAAAGTCTATATCAGTCATGTATGATCTAAACTGACTCCAGATTAGTTTTTTTTTTTTTGTCAAGCCTAGCATTATTAATTTCTAGACCAGTCCTGAAAGCTCATCACAGTCTTTAACTTAATTTTATGTGTTAGAACTATCATTATGTAAGTCTAGGCCAATCCTGAAAGCTCGCCATTAGCTTCACGAAACTTTTATTTGTTAGTATTATTGTTGTGAATTAATAGATTAGGATCTCGCCACTAACTCATATTAGTTTTCTGTCTTAAGCTTATTGCAGTTAATATCTAGACAAGTTCTCAAAGCTAGCAATAAGTTGAGGTTACTTATATGTGTTATGCCTATCAGTGAGAATGACTAGACCAGTTATGAAAGCTCGCCACTAACTTTAGGTAAGTTTTCTGTGTTAAGCCTATAATTATGAATGTAAAGACCAGTTCTGAGAGCAAGCCAATATCTTTAAGTTAATTATTTGTGAAAGAACTATCATTATGTATGTCTAAGCCAGTTCCAAAGCTCGCCATTAGCTTCAGAAAAATGTTAATCGTTAATATTAGATTTATGAATGAGTATATCAGTATTAAAAATGCGCCACTGACTTTAGGTTAGTTTTCTGTCTTACGCCTATTACAATTAGTATACAGACAAGTTCTCAGAGCTCATTGAGTTCAGGTAAGTTTCATTGTTAGGTCTATTGTTAAGCAAGCCACTAATTTCAAGTAGGTTTTCTGTGTTAGTCCTATCTTAATGAAGGTCTAGACTATCTCTGAAAAGTCGCCACTTACTCTGAGTCTTCCGTGTTAGGCCTATAATTATTAATATTTAGGTCACTTCTAAAACTTTTCCATAGATTTCACGTTACTTTTCTGTATCAGGTCTACCAATGTGAATGTCTAGACCATTCTGAAGGCTCACTACTGACTTCGGGAAAATTTTCTGTGTTAGGTCTATAGTTATAAGTCTATGTCAGCTCTATAAGATATCCACTGACTTTGGATTAGTTTTCTGTGTTAAGCGTAACACAATAAATTTATAGACAAATTCTGAGAGCTCGCCACTAAATTCGGGAATGTTTTCATAGATAGGCTTATTGTTATTAACACCTGGGTCATTTCTAAATGCTCGCCACTGACTTTAGATTAATTTTCTGTGTTAGGCCTATCATTAAAAATATCTAGACCAGTTCTGAACATTTCAGGTACGTTTTCTTTGTTAGGCTTACTGTAAGGAATCCAGTTCAATTTTAAAACCTCGCCACTCACTTTATGTGAGTTTGCAATGCTAGGCCTGTAATTATGAATGTCTAAACCAGATATGAAAGTAAGCCATCGACTATAGCCTATTTTTCTGTGTTAGGCCTATCATAATAAATGCATAGACCTGTTCTCAAGGCTCGCCACTGACTTCAGGTGAGTTTTCTTTGTTAGTGTTATTATTATGAATGCCTAGCTTAAGATTAAAATTAAGCAACTCACTCTTCTATGTTAATCCTATCGTTATGAAGCTTTAGACCATTTCTAAAGACTCGCCACTGACTTCGGGTTATTTTTGTGTGTGTGTTAGGCTTATATTTATGAAAGTATAGACTAGTTCTGAAAACTCGCCATTGATTTCAAGCTTGTTTTCCGTGTTTGATCTATCATTATGTGCGCTCAGGCCAATACTGAAAGCTCTTCACGGACTACAGTTCAATTTTCTGTGTTAGACTTATCAAAGTAAATGTCTTGACCAGCTCTAAAAGCTCGCCACATCAAGTACGTTTTTGGGCCTACCATTATGAATGTATAGTCCACTTCTGAAAGCTCGCAACTGACTTCAGCTTACTTTTTTGAGTTAGGCCTATCAGCATGAAGGTCTAGACCAGCTGTGAAAACTAGCCCCTAACATTAGGTTAATTTTCTGTGTTAAGCCTGTCATTATGAATATTCTAAAAGGTGACCACTAGTTTCAGTTTAATTTTTGATGCTAGGTCTATCAATAAGAGTTTCTAGATCATTGAACAGAATTGTTT